TCATCTGACCATATGACATTCTCCCAATCCTCTTCTGGATCATCCAAATGCTCTCTAGCAAACTTCAGAGGGGCCTGGACATGTACTGGCCTAAGCAGGGGGACACGTCTGGCACTGCAGGATCTGAGTCCCTGGCGGCGTAGTGTGTTACTGATGGTAGCCTTTGTTACGTTGGTCCCAGCTCTCTGCAGGTCATTCACTAGGTCCCCCCGTGTGGTCCTGGGATTTTTGCTCACCGTTCTTGTGATCATTTTGACCCCACGGGGTGAGATCTTGCGTGGAGCCCCAGATCGAGGGAGATTATCAGTGGTCTTGTAGGTCTTCCATTTTCTAATTATTGCTCCCACAGTTGATTTGTTCACACCAAGATGCTTGCCTATTGCAGATGCAGTCTTCCCAGCCTGGTGCAGGTCTACAATTTTGTTTCTGGTGTCCTTCGACAGCTCTTTGGTCTTCACCATAGTGGAGTTTGGAGTGTGACTGTTTGAGGTTGTGGACAGGTGTCTTTTATACTGATAACACGTTCAAACAGGTGCCATTGATACAGGTAATGAGTGCAGGACAGAGGAGCCTCTCAAAGAAGAAGGTCCAGGTCTGTGAGAGCCAGAAATCTTGCTTGTTTGTAGGTGACCAAATACTTATTTTCCACCATAATTTGCAAATAAATTCTTTCCAGATCAGCCAATGTGATTGTCTGGATTTGTTTTCTCATTTTGTCTCTCATAGTTGAGGTCTCCCTATGATGCCAATTACAGGCCTCTCTCATCTTTGTAAGTGGGAGAACTTGTACAATTGGTGGTGACTAAATACTTTTTTGCCCCCACTGTATATACATTGTATACAGTCCGGGAGAGGGGGGACTCACTTATGGGAGATACTGTGTGTGTGTGTGTGTGTGTGTGTGTGTATATGTATGTGTATATATATATATATGTGTATATATATATATATGTATATATATATATATATATATATATATATATATATATATGTATATATATATATATATGTATATATATGTATATATATGTATATATATATATATATGTATGTATGTGTATATATATATGTATGTATATATATATGTATATATATATGTATGTATATATATATGTATGTATATATATATGTATGTATATATATATATATATATATATATATATTATATATATATATATATATATATATATATATATAATAATAATATATACACATTGTATACAGTCCGGGAGAGGGGGGACTCACTTATGGGAGATACTGTGTGTGTATGTGTATATATATAGAGATATATATATATATATATATATATATATATATATATATATATAATAATATATATACACATTGTATACAGTCCGGGGAAGGGGTGTACTCACTTCCGGGAGATACTGTATATATAAAATGTTTGGGGGAATTTTCAAGCATCAAAATGCAGATTTTTTTTTTTTTTTTTTTTTTAAATCTACGGAAGTGTCAGAATCGGTTGGGCAGCTAGCGGTTAAAGCAGTCCTGACCGGTCATGGGGCACTCAACATGTAAATGTCGACAAGGCTGCCCTTGTTTATAAAACATCAACACGTCAATGTACATTAATCAGTTCATATTTTTTTGGTTTTATCTTTTAAAAAAAAAAAACCCAAAAACTTTTTAAGCTTTTTGGATTTCCGTGAACTGTGGTTTCTGCTCCGGCGAGGAATGCCGCATTGGTGGCTGTGGAGTAAACATGGAAAGTTTAATCCTTTGGTGCAGGAATTCGGTGTGACGCTTTAGATGAGGATTTACAAGCGTGTAAAGTACGATTAGACGTGTCAGAGAGTGGAAGCAGAGGGATCAGTCAGGCCTTCTAGGCAGCCTAGGAGCAGTTTTTATACCGGCCGCAAAGCCTGCCTGTCTGGCTCTTGGCAATTATTTATAGCATTTATTTATTGGCACAGAGACCGAGATTGTAAGTTCTTCGGGGGCCTGTCCTGAAATCGGGGGATCCACGGCTTTCGAATCGTCTTCTCCACATAGGAGGGTCTCTCTTCACCAAGTACTTGGTGAACCAACTTTTGGTTGGTCCCTAAAGCTGGTCATACACTAGTAGAACATTGCTACGAAGTTTCTCAAATGTGGTTTTAAAAGTACTTCAAAATTTCATTTGATTTTGGAATGAAATAGATTTCCCGAGCAAACACCACCAATTTCACTGTTTAGAAATATGTTTGAGAAGAATGTTCTGTCTAGCTCCTTCGAGATTTCTCATCGATGTGCTCAAAAATGGTGCGTCGCTTTCACTTCTTATAAGACTGAAACTGGAAGAACGTTCTTCAAAGAAACGTTTGGGATGCAATTCTGCAGGTTTTATGGCTTAAGGATCAGGTTCCTCCTGGCTTCATCCTAGGCAGACTAGAGCAATGTTTTTCAACTAGGTTGCCACTCGGGGTGCCTTGAACATGAGATCCAGTTTGCCCTGGTCAGAGATGGATGAGAGGACTGTGATGTGATGGGAGGGCTCTCATGTATAAAGGGGACTGTGATGTGACTGGGGGACTTTTGGTGATGGAGGCTTCTTATGAATAGGGTGGACCTCTGACGGGATGAAGGGAGGACCTCTGACGGGATGAAGGGAGGACCTCTGACGGGATGAAGGGAGGACCTCTGACGGGATGAAGGGAGGACCTCTGACGGGAGGACCTCTGACGGGAGGACCTCTGACGGGAGGACCTCTGACGGGAGGACCTCTGACGGGAGGACCTCTGACGGGAGGACCTCTGACGGGAGGAAGGGGGAGGACCTTTTGACGGGAGGAAGGGGGGACGATCTCGGACGGGAGGAAGGGGAAGGACCTCGGACGGGAAGACCTCCTGACGTGAAATTGGTTTCACCCAAGGCGGTTGTGCATTATCCCAGGCTCAGGTTTCCCATCAATAAGTAACATTTATGTTTTTTGTATTTTAGACTGGGGTGCCTCCTGATTGTGAATACCTTTTTTAAGGGGTGCCACGGCTGAAAATAGGTTGAGAAAAGCAGGTCTAGAGTACCTAGTCCCTATCGGGAACCATGTGCCTCAGGAGGCTTCAGAGTTTTGAGACTCTTCCTGAGACGAAGACCACTGATCCCTTGTGCACTTTTTTGTATTGTGTTTTTTGCACTTTGGATGCGTGTAGTGTGGGCTATAGAAGTTGGGTGAGCGGAGAGGGATTAAATCTCTAGTACAGGTATATAGGGGTCGTCACTGACTTGTCGGAAGGGGTGGCCTTGCTGCACAGAACCTCTTAGAGCCTCAGTCTCAGGAACAGGTTTCCCTTTGGAGCATTTGGCATCTCCTCTTGCTCTGGTGAGGACACATTTTTGGATTTATCCTCCTTTTCTATCTCAGTGACAGTGGTCACCAAGACAGATAGAGGGTGAATCACACCAGTAGGACATGGATGGTTATTCCCTTGCTCTCCTGCTTCTCCTTTCAGTGTCAGGAACCAATGGAAATAACCAGTATTTCTGTGTAGGAAGGGGCATATGACCCTCATCATGTCACAGTGCTGGGGCCGTCAGTGCTGACTCAGGGAGCCTGTAGCTCTGTGTATACTACAACTTCTGTGTAGCTTACTTAGGACTTTCCTGTCAAATGGGGGGGTGGTGGGTGTCAAAAGTGCTTTCTACCGTCCAATGGGTCTGAGGAGAAGGTTCCTGGATTGCCAGTAGTTTGGTATAATGAAGAGAACGTTAGAGTTTGGTTGAGAGTCCACTTCAATTTTTATTTTCCATAAACATGAAAAGGATATTCAACACGTTTCAGGGGCTTATCCCCCTTCATCGGGGCTCCTTGTACAGGTGTGGGTTTGAATAAAGGTGGACTTGACTGGGTGTCTTGGAGAAAATATCTCTAGTACGGGGGTGTCAAACTCAATCGAGGGCTGCATCAGCATTATGGTTACCCTCAAAGGCCGCTTGTATCTGTAAGACTAGATGTACAGAGCACCCCCTTTACATTAGATGTCAAGAGGCCCCCCCTACTATCAAAAGTCAAGAGTCCCCCACTCTGCCATTACCCCCTTACCTTGTGGTGCTGCTGGGAAGAAGCTGGAGGCGGTGCTGGGAGGCAGAAAGTGCAGGGTCTAGAGGAGAACCTGAGTTAGTTGCTGGAGTATGCTGAGACCAGGGGAGGTGAAGACTGCACAGAGGTGCAGGATCTGTAGGAGGAGTTCTGTCCTCCTCTCTTTGGCTGACTGCTAAGGGGGGCAGAGACGAGTCTCATGGAGAAACGCAGGATCCAATGCAGGAGTTCCATACTCCTGTCTGCTGCTGACTGCTGAGACAAGGTGGGGGCAGAAATGAGGAGGGTGCCGCAGCTGCAGGAAGGTGCGAGGGCCACATGATATGGCCTGGTGGTCCAGATTCGGCCTGCAAGCTTTGTACTTGACACATGCTCTAGCAGGCTACTAGATTGATGACCAGAGCAGGCATTTAGTCCATGCTAGAGAAATCTGCTCCAGGATACCCACTGTCAGTTCAGATTTATTAAAACCTACACAAGCCCTGATGAAGGGGGACGTGTTAAGCCCTTGGAACGCGTCGCCTATACTTAACAAAGGAAAATGGACCCAGACTCTCAACCAGCGCTCTCGGCACTCTTCCAAGCTTCACCAAGGGAAGGCTTTCAATATCACAGTTTATATGTTCCAATGGTCCAGCTGCATGAAGGATGGCACATGTGCTTTCCAAAAAAATCCCCTCTGGCTGGCTACTGCACTTGTAGGCAAAGCTCCGTTTTTTTCGGAAACTTGTTTCTCTTCTGCAGATTGTAAGCTCTTGTTGGAAGAGCCTTCTCATATTCTGTTTTATTGCTGGTAATGTTAATCCTTGTGTGGTCCATTCTGCGTTTTCCCCATTCCGTAAAACTGTAAATTGTTTTGGCACTGTAGAAACGCAAAGTAAGTAATGTTACGGATTTATCTGTTGCAGTAGTTGGGACGGACTGAGCGGATGGTGTATGACTGCAGCTGTTAGAACAACCCAAGATGGCAGCCAACAAGAACAAGACGCAGAGTTCCTTGGCGCTACACAAGGTGATCATGGTGGGAAGCGGTGGCGTAGGCAAGTCTGCGCTTACTCTACAGTTCATGTATGATGAGGTGAGTGTAAACACATGCTGACTGCTTTGCCACTTCAAATACGCTATAGCCAAACAGTACATGGAACCCTCCACCAAGTTCAGGTGTCTCTGGTAAAGGGAACTGGTAATAATACATCATACGAAGACCTTTTCAGACAATTGTGCCTTCCAACCTTGTGGCAATAGTTTGGGGAACTCCGATGGTGAACTAGGTCTTCTCACCAAACATCACCATAAAGCCATGGTTTGACCAGTTTGGTGTGGAGGAACTTGGGTGTCCTGCCCAGAGCCCTGTCCTCAACCCTACTGAACACCTGTGGGATGAATCGGAAAGCCAATGGTGAGCCAGGCCTTCTCATCCAACATCAGAATCTGTCCTCACAAATTACCACAGACACCCCAAATACTTGTTATAGTTTGACCAGTTTGGTGTTGAGGAACTTGGGTGTCCTGCCCAGAGCCCTGTCCTCAACCCTACTGAACACCTTTGGGATAAATGTAAAATTCTGATGGTGACTCAGGTCTTCTCATCGGACTTCAGTACCTGACTCACCATTGAGACAGAGTCCAACAAACGTGCTAAAATCTTTTTTTTTTTTTACCAGTTTGGTGTGGAGGAACTGGGGTGTCCTGCCCAGAGCCCTGTCCTCAACCCTACTGAACACCTTTGGGATAAATTTCAAATTCTGACGGTGACCCAGGTCTTCTCATCAGACATGACCTCACCATTGAGAGGAATTCCAACACACGTGCTAAAATCTTTTTTTTTTTTTTTTTTTTTTACCAGTTTGGTGTGGAGGAACTGGTGTGTCCTGCACAAAGCCTGGACCCCAACCCTACTTAACACTTTTTTGGGATGATTTAAAATTCCGATGGTGACTCAGGTCTTCTTATCCAACTTCAGTACCTGACCTCACCATTGAGACAAATTCCAATAAATGTGCTAAAATCTTTTTTTGTTTTGACCAGTTTGGTGTGGTTGTATTCTTGGAGTCCCAGATTTTCCATGGTAGCAAATTCTTATGTATAGGGATGGTGGTGCTGAAAGCAAACAGGTCACCCTGTTATATTCAATATTTTCTATTTGATTTAGCGTTTTAGGACATTTAAAGACGTCCATTAAAGATCTATTCCTGAACACCATTGTATCAAGCATAGTGTCAAACCTCAGAAGATGGGGTCAGGTGATAGTGTGAGATTTCGGGAGGACCTCTAACCGTTTTAAAAGCTTACAAGAAAGAATTAGAACACACAGTCCCAAAATGGTCATCCTGTTATACCATCCTCGTCCAATTAGATCACTTTGGTGGTTTCAGATGTTTGGTGGTTCATCTTCGGAAAGTCTTTGGTAATCTGGGTTCATTGGGGAGCTATAGCCCCGTCATAGTAGCTTTTGGCACCTTAAAGACATGGTTTGCCGTGAAGGAACTTGAGTGTCCTACACAGAGCCCTGACCTCAGCCCTACTGAACACCTTTTAGTGAGCCAGGTCTTCTCATCTAACATTAGTACCAGACCTCAGAAACAGACACAAATTTCCATAGGCACCCTCCAAAATCTTTTCGAAAGTCTGCCCAGAAGTGTAGAAGATTTTGTAGGTGGGATGGGGGTATATAGCTCCATTTTACTAGCCATGTTTTTTTAATGGAATTTCCAACGAGCTCATAAAGGTCTGATGGCCCACAACTTTTGGTCATATAAAAGTACCTCCACCACCTCCTGACCCTACCAGCTGCTCCTGTAATGTAATTGTAATTGTCATTGTCACTGACCTAAAAGGTGTGTAAAAAGTGGACGAGGGCGGGGCCTAACTAGAATTTTGCAGGACAACTGAGATTTGTAGAACTTTTAGCTCTCTAAGAGTTGGTATGAAAGATGACCTGGAATTTATCATTATCTGCTCTAGCTGGTTTGCTACATCCGTAGTCTAGACAAGAAGCAGTGAACTACCACAATTCTGTTTTCGTGATTTCTTTATTACCTGGGATTTTATTGATGAGGTTACTTCATCCTTCGCTCTTTATTGAATAAACCATTTTCTATGAGCCACAGTATAGTTTCTGATCCTTTTGGGGTTTGGATTAATCGAAGGGGGGGAAAAAAAAAAAAAAATATATATATTTAAAAAAAAAAGCTCGACACACAACCCAATTTTTTTATAAATATAAAAGATGATGTAACGCCGAGTAAATAGATACCAAACATGTTATGCTTTAAAACTGCAACAACGTAAATTTTACTGTCCATGGATGACTCTTTAAAAGCCTTTACAGGTCACCACTTTTAGATTTACAGAGGAGATCTGGTTCTAGAATTACTGCCCGTGATCTGATGTTCACGGTGATACCTCACATGTGTGGGATGATTGCTGCTTGCGTGTGTGCGGGGGCCAACACTTGCGTTTGCGTGCAAGCACAAGGGGACGGGAGCATCTGATTCATCAGACCAGGCCACCTTCTTCCATTGCTCCGTGGTCCAGTTCTGATGCTCACGTGCCCATTGTAGGTGCCTTTGGCTGTGGACACGGGTCAGCATGGGCACCCTGACCGGTCTGTTACTACACCACCCCATACACAACAAACTGCGATGCTCTGTGTGTTCGGACACCTTTCTATCAGTATTCACTTTTTCAGCAATTTGAGCTTCTGTAGCTCTTCTATTGGATCGGACTACAAGGGTCAGCCTTCTCTCCCCACCTCCATCAATGAGCCTTCCCTCCCCACCTCCATCAATAAGCCTTCTCTTCCCACCTCCATCAATGAGCCTTCCCTCCCCACCTCCATCAGTGAGCCTTCTCTCCCCACCTCCATCAGTGAGCCTTCCCTCCCCACCTCCATCAATAAGCCTTCTCTCCCCACCTCCATCAGTGAGCCTTCCCTCCCCACCTCCATCAGTGAGCCTTCCCTCCCCACCTCCGTCGAGGAGCCTTCCCTCCCCGCCTCCGTCGAGGAGCCTTCCCTCCCCGCCTCCGTCGAGGAGCCTTCCCTCCCCGCCTCCGTCGAGGAGCCTTCCCTCCCCGCCTCCGTCGAGGAGCCTTCCCTCCCCGCCTCCGTCGAGGAGCCTTCCCTCCCCGCCTCCGTCGAGGAGCCTTCCCTCCCCGCCTCCGTCGAGGAGCCTTCCCTCCCCGCCTCCGTCGAGGAGCCTTCCCTCCCCGCCTCCGTCGAGGAGCCTTCCCTCCCCGCCTCCGTCGAGGAGCCTTCCCTCCCCGCCTCCGTCGGCGAGCCTTCCCTCCCCGCCTCCGTCGAGGAGCCTTCCCTCCCCGCCTCCGTCGAGGAGCCTTCCCTCCCCGCCTCCGTCGAGGAGCCTTCCCTCCCCGCCTCCGTCGAGGAGCCTTCCCTCCCCACCTCCCTCGGCGAGCCCTCCCTCCCCACCTCCCTCGGCGAGCCCTCCCTCCCCACCTCCCTCGGCGAGCCCTCCCTCCCCACCTCCCTCGCCGAGCCCTCCCGCCCCACCTCCCTCGCCGAGCCCTCCCGCCCCACCTCCCTCGCCGAGCCCTCCCGCCCCACCTCCCTCGCCGAGCCCTCCCGCCCCACCTCCCTCGCCGAGCCCTCCCTCCCCACCTCCCTCGCCGAGCCTTCACTGCCCATCACCCGGTCACTGATTGGCTGGTTTTCCTTCCTTGGACCACTTTTGGTCGGTCCTGACCACTGAAGGCCGGGAACATCCCACAAGAGCTGCAGTTTTGGAGTTGCTGTGACCCAGTTGTCTTACAATGTTGGTCCTTGTCAGAGTCTTGCAAATCCTTACACTTACCCATTGTTTTTTTCTTTCTGCTTTCAGCACATCAACTTCAGGGACAACATGTTCACTTATTGCCTGATATATCCCACCCACTCTCAGATGCCATTGTCACAAAATGATTGTTATTTGCTTTACCTGTTAGTGATCATAATGTTATGGCTGATTGGTGTAAATGTATATAGAAATTTGGCCACATGTCTGCCTCCCCCCCATTGCAGTTTGTAGAAGATTATGAGCCCACCAAGGCCGACAGCTACAGGAAGAAAGTGGTGCTGGACGGAGAGGAGGTTCAGATCGACATCCTGGACACGGCGGGTCAGGAGGACTATGCGGCTATTCGAGACAACTACTTCCGCAGCGGCGAGGGCTTCCTGCTGGTCTTCTCCATTACAGAGCACGAGTCCTTCACAGCTACGGCGGAGTTCAGGTCGGTCTGAAACTTCCATGTGTTTCAAGGTTCAACCCACCCATTAACCACTTGCCGTCCGGCCGTTTATATACAGCGGGGGCAGTGCAGAGGCGGGTTGCCATTCATAAACGGCGCCCGCCATTTTGGACTGTGCACGCTACCTGGGAGCGCGCAGCACTGCGATCCGGTGCCCGTGACAAGCTGCGACCAATCACAGCTCTCACGGTATTTCTCAATGGCTGCAAGAATGCAGCCAGAGAGACGGAGAAATGATTGCTTTTACAGCCTTTATGGGTACAATCTTTATAACCCCCAAGTAATACAGTGTCACTATGGTGACAATGTACTGCTAGAGTGACAGTATGTAAAAAAACAAACAAAACACATAAATAATAATATAAAAAAATTAAATAAAAATGTAAAAAAAAATGTTTTTTAAATTTTATAATTTTTGGTTATAAACTAATTTGGCTTTTTTTTTTTTTTTTTACTAAAATGATGACTTTGAAATGATTTTGGCCAAGATTTATGATGAAATATTAATTTATTTGCAAAATTGTATAAGATAAACAATTTTTCAAAATTTTTGCACTTTTTCATTTATATAGCAAAAAAAAAAAAAAAAATCCCAGCGGTGAATAAATACCACCAAAATAAAGCTTTATCTGTCTGCTAAAAATTCATATGGGTACAGTGTTGCATGACCGCGCAATTGTCATTCAAAGTGTGATAGTGCTGAAAGCTGAAAATTGGCCTGGGCAGGAAGGGGGGAAAGTGTCCGGACTGGAAGGGGGGGAAAGTGTCCGGACTGGAAGGGGGGGAAAGTGTCCGGACTGGAAGGGGGTGAAAGTGTCCGGACTGGAAGGGGGGGAAAGTGTCCGGACTGGAAGGGGGGGAAAGTGTCCGGACTGGAAGGGGGGGAAAGTGTCCGGACTGGAAGGGGGGGAAAGTGTCCGGACTGGAAGGGGGGGAAAGCGTCCGGACCGGAAGGGGGGGGGGAAAGCGTCCGGACCGGAAGGGGGGGGGGAAAGCGTCCGGACCGGAAGGGGGGGGGGGAAAGCGTCCGGACCGGAAGGGGGGGGGGAAAAGCGTCCGGACCGGAAGGGGGGGGGGAAAAGCGTCCGGACCGGAAGGGGGGGGGGGGAAAAGCGTCCGGACCGGAAGGGGGGGGGGGGAGAAGCGTCCGGACCGGAAGGGGGGGGGGGGGGAAGCGTCCGGACCGGAAGGGGGGGGGGGGGAAGCGTCCGGACCGGAAGGGGGGGGGGGGGAAAGCGTCCGGACCGGAAGGGGGGGGGGGGGGGGGAAAGCGTCCGGACCGGAAGGGGGGGGGGGGGAAAGCGTCCGGACCGGAAGGGGGGGGGGGGAAAGCGTCCGGACCGGAAGGGGGGGGGGGAAAAAGCGTCCGGACCGGAAGGGGGGGGGGGGGGGGGGGAAAGCGTCCGGACCGGAAGGGGGGGGGGGGGGAAAGCGTCCGGACCGGAAGGGGGGGGGGGGGGGGGAAGCGTCCGGACCGGAAGGGGGGGGGGGGGGGGGGGAAGCGTCCGGACCGGAAGGGGGGGGGGGGGAAGCGTCCGGACCGGAAGGGGGGGGGGGGGGGCGTCCGGACGTCGGAAGGGGGGGGGGGGAAGCGTCCGGACCGGAAGGGGGGGGGGGGGGAGCGTCCGGACCGGAAATGGGGGGGGGGGGGAAAGCGTCCGGACCGGAAGGGGGGGGGGGGGGAAAGCGTCCGGACCGGAAGGGGGGGGGGGGAAAAAGCGTCCGGGGAAGGGGGGGGGGGGGAAAGCGTCCGGACCGGGGGGGGGGGGGAAAGCGTCCGGGACCGGAAGGGGGGGGGGGGGGGAAGCGTCCGGACCGGAAAGGGGGGGGGGGGGGGGGGAAAGCGTCCGGACCGGAAGGGGGGGGGGGGGGGGGGAAAGCGTCCGGACCGGAAGGGGGGGGGGGGGGGGGAAAGCGTCCGGACCGGAAGGGGGGGGGGGGGGGGGAAGCGTCCGGACCGGAAGGGGTTCCGGACCGTAATGATATTTCGTATTTGGTGAATGCTCAGAGTGCACCCTAAATACCAAGTTATACATCCAAACCTCGTTCAATATGAAGGCGCCCCACGGTGCTGCTTTATGATTTTAAAGTTGGAAGTTGTGGAAGGCCTGGTAAGCGGGGGAGGGGAGGGGGGTTGGGGGGGGGGGGGGATTGATCAAAATTGGTGCTTTATTCAATCCTAACTCCAGGAAAACTGGATTTTTAAACGTTCTATTCAGCCAGCTTAGTTACCTCTTCTACTCAATATATAACATGCGGGGGGCTGCTGGGGATGCTAACATTTTCAGTTGTAGTCCATGCTGGATACAGCGAGCGCTTGGATCTACCGCCGGCGCGGCATCAACTTTCCGCTTCTTACAGGGATGATAGGGACGTCGCTCGCTTGATATCCATTCAGAAAATGTTTTGTATTCTTCCCAATGAACATAATGTGTTCTTTGAATGGTGAAGGGTAGATTGTGATATTCATCTGCCTTCTTCACCTTGACCAATCAGAGAACACCTTGTATGGGTTGAAAGGAATACAAAACATTTTCTGAATGGAGGATTTGCCGAGCAGGTGACCTTTTGACTTTTGAATCATGGCTAATATTTTTCTAATATTCAATTAGAAAAAAAAAAAAGTGGGTCTGGGGGGAAAAGTGAATATTTTGTGTTTAAAAAAACAATTGTCATAACATTAGGTATCTGTTTTGTATCCTCCTACAGAGAGCAGATCCTGCGTGTGAAGGCGGAGGAAGATAAGATCCCCCTTCTCCTCGTAGGGAACAAATCCGATTTGGAGGACAGGAGACAAGTTCCTGTGGACGAGGCCCGAGGCAAGGCAGAGGAATGGGGCGTTCAGTATGTGGAGACTTCAGCCAAAACAAGAGCCAATGTAGACAAGGTGAGTGGTTGTGGGCGGAGCTGACAACTCACTATATGTCTGGAGTTGTCATTGTAATGGTAGGAGCTGTCCACCCATGTGACCGAGGGGGGGTTGGCCATATGTTGGGTTGGTGAGTTTTTGGGCGGAGCTGACAACGCCCTATATGTCTGGAGTTGTCATTGTAATGGTAGGAGCTGTCCACCCATGTGACCGAGGGGGGGTTGGCCATTCTTAGGGTTGGTGAGTTTTTGGGCGGAGCTGACAACGCCCTATATGTCTGGAGTTGTCATTGTAATGGTAGGAGCTGTCCACCCATGTGACCGAGGGGGGGTTGGCCATTCTTAGGGTTGGTGAGTTTGTGGGTGGAGCTGACAACGCCATATATGTCTGGAGTTGTCATTGTAATGGTAGGAGCTGTCCACCCATGTGACCGAGGGGGGGTTGGCCATACTTAGGGTTGGTGAGTTTTTGGGCGGAGCTGACAACGCCCTATATGTCTGGAGTTGTCATTGTAATGGTAGGAGCTGTCCACCCATGTGACCGAGGGGGGGTTGGCCATACTTAGGGTTGGTGAGTTTGTGGGCGGAGCTGACAACGCCATATATGTCTGGAGTTGTCATTGTAATGGTAGGAGCTGTCCACCCATGTGACCGAGGGGGGGTTGGCCATACTTAGGGATGGTGAGTTTGTGGGTGGAGCTGACAACGCCATATATGTCTGGAGTTGTCATTGTAATGGTAGGAGCTGTCCACCCATGTGACCGAGGGGGGGTTGGCCATTCTTAGGGTTGGTGAGTTTGTGGGTGGAGCTGACAACGCCATATATGTCTGGAGTTGTCATTGTAATGGTAGGAGCTGTCCACCCATGTGACCGAGGGGGGGGTTGGCCATACTTAGGGTTGGTGAGTTTTTGGGCGGAGCTGACAACGCCCTATATGTCTGGAGTTGTCATTGTAATGGTAGGAGCTGTCCACCCATGTGACCGAGGGGGGGTTGGCCATACTTAGGGTTGGTGAGTTTGTGGGCGGAGCTGACAACGCCATATATGTCTGGAGTTGTCATTGTAATGGTAGGAGCTGTCCACCCATGTGACCGAGGGGGGGGGCCATACTTAGGGATGGTGAGTTTGTGGGTGGAGCTGACAACGCCATATATGTCTGGAGTTGTCATTGTAATGGTAGGAGCTGTCCACCCATGTGACCGAGGGGGGGTTGGCCATTCTTAGGGTTGGTGAGTTTGTGGGCGGAGCTGACAACGCCCTATATGTCTGGAGTTGTCATTGTAATGGTAGGAGCTGTCCACCCATGTGACCAAAGGGGGGGGGGGGGGGGCAGCTGTACTTAGGGATGGTGAGTTTGTGGGCGGAGCTGACAACGCCCTCTACTTGCGGAGTGGTCAGGTTGCTGGAATGAAAATGGTTTACAAAACACCTCGGTTAACATAATTTTTGGTTTCCGAATGACAATCCATTGAAAATAACGCCTCGATTTACACATTTTTTCGCAATAAGACGTGTATGTCGCTGACGATTTTTAAACGCAATTGCCGGCTTTTTTTTTTCTTCACTATATCTCACGGGATTAGCTGTCACTTTCCCTGGAGTTAACGGAAACTTTGTTTCTTTTAAGAAACTAAAAGGAAACATTGTTTCTTTTAACTCTGGGAAATAGACTAAAAGAAAACTTTCTCTCTTTTAGCTGGGGGGTGAAGTGACAGCGGAATATCTTAGTTATAGTGAAGAAAGAAAAAAAAAAAAGCGGGTAATTACATTTAAAAACCGGGACCATAATAAATTTAAAAAAAAATGGCGTGAGGTCCCCCCTCCCATCCATACCAAGACCTTCGGGTCTGGTATGGATTTTGAGGGGAACTACCACGCCAAAATGAAAAAAAAAAAAAAAAAATTGGCATGCGTGTTGTTTCCCTCCCCCTTCCCCATAATCCATACCAGACCCTTATCTGAGCATTCAGCCCGGCAGTTCAGGAAAGGAGGGGGGGGGGGGGGGGGACAAGTGAGCGCCCCTCCCTCCATCTCCTGAACCATGCCAGGCAACATGCCCTCAACAATGAGAGCCCCGGGTCCCATTCTAACAATCAGGATCCGGGACTCCCTTTTCCGGGTCACATGATCGCTGTGATAGCCTCTGATTGGCTATCACAGTGATCAGTCACTGTATAACCCACCCACCTTTTTTTTTTCTCTCTATGAATGGAGGAGAGATACATTGCATCTCTCTAACTCCTGGCATAGAGAAAAAATGTTTGTTAAAAAAAAAAAAAAAAAGATAAATAATTAAAATAAAATAAAAATTAAAGAAAAAATACAAACTACTTATACGAAGGTTTGATCTAGGTCAGTGCCAGGGTAAGTGTTTGGGTCAGGGTCAAAGGTCAGGATTTTTTTTTTTTATAATTTGGTGTTCGTGTCAGTGTGTTTTAAGTAACCCCCCCCCCCCCCCCCCCCCGAAAAAAAAAAAAAAATGCGCTCTATTGTTTCAGGGTTGTACTATGGGTACAAACAGCAAATAACACACATATATGGTATCGTGATCACCAACAGCTGGAGAATTTATTTTGGGTTTTTCTTTGGTGGTAGGTTAGGGTAGTAACAACACACAGCTACATTAAAAAAAATATTTTTTTTTTATTATTATTATTTTGGGCCAGTTTTCCTTTGATAATAACCAAAAAAAATCTGAAGATATCTGTAACGGAACCGACCCAGCCTGCGCTGAGTACTTCCATTAAAATACCGCTTCCCCATCCGTTATACCGACCACAGACACCACCGCTGACCATACGAGACTAGACGACACCAGTCTTGAAGTAAACCAGGAAGTAGACTACTTTATTTTAACACAGATGCAAGATATATACACTCAGGGGACAACCCCCCCCCCCCTCCCTGAATAATGACACAGGGCGGGGCAATCTACATTTAGTAACAAGAGACACACCAGCAGACAGTCCCATCAGGAGGGAGGGCTGCTGGAGACGCATCCCCCTCCACCAAGCCAATACACAAACACATACATCCCATAATAGTTTGCTCCCAAGCAAGACACACAATAGAACAATGGGATGCAACCACATGGCATTGAACGATCAACAACCCCCCACCTCAATATTAGGACAGATCACCCTGTACCACTAACAGGCACAGGGTGACTTACACATAAGAGGAATATGGAGAGCTGAGACAGGGGTCTCCCCACCTCTCCAAAGTGGGCTGTGTTCCATGGGCCCCCCACCCAAAGTGACTCCCGTCACAATATCCATTACCGTTTACCACCAAATGAAAGCCCAATTTGTCCATTAAAAAAAACGCGGTATAATCCACCTGGATGTTCAAAGTTAGTTGCGACGATACGGACAGTTTTACTCACACATGTCACCGTTGCAAAATTGTGCTTAGGCATTAAGATTTTTTTTACCTTTAGGTGTGACGGGGGTTAATGGATTTAAAATGGCAGCGTTAAAACCAGACTATGACCATCTTCCACGTGGAAGAACAAACAATTGCGGCCGAACTTACTAAGATGGCCGCGTACCAGGGACTTGGGAAGGGCGGCGTGACGTCGGCACGTAAGGCTCCACCCAATACTGCGCCGCGGATGCATTGCAACAAATGGGGTTAATCATAGGAGGTCTGACCAGAGTTCAGCCATGTATGTTACCTCTTACCACCTCTTCGCCTCCCCCCCCCCTCTTTTTTTTTTTTTTATATTTCAGGTTTTCTTCGACCTCATGAGGGAAATCCGATCGAAGAAAATGTCCGAGAACAAAGACAAGAACGGAAAGAAAAGCGGTAAAAGCAAGAAGAGCTTCAAACAACGTTGCTGCCTACTGTGATGCGTGGAGCCTGCGGAGTCGCCAGCGAAGGGCCGCAGTGAGCGAGAGCTCTGAACCCGCCGCCTTCCTTCCTTTCTAACTCTACTAGTATTTAATTCAGTGCTAAAGACCAACAGCAGCCAGGCGGGATGCTTCCCCCCCCAGTAGGCCAGTGGGGGAGGGGGAGCCGTCCCGCCACCCTCACACGTGGTCTGGGGTTTTTTTTTTTTTCCTCCTTTCCTCTTTCTATCCTTTTTGCCGAATAAAGAAACAAATTTTTACTACCACCGAATTAAAAAAAAAAAAAACATTTTACACAAGAAACTCTTGGCCAGCTCTGTCCAGAAACTGTGAGATCTCCCGCCCGCCCCAGGACTGTAAAGGGCGAACGGTCAATGTGCGATCCGCTACGTAGCTGAGATTTAAGCGCCAGGCCATCAGTCAGTCCAGATACAAATTTTATTCCAATGTAAGAAGACTTAAAAACAAAAAAGCGAGTCGACGCGTTTCGGCAGCCAGAGCTCACCCCCTTCACTGGGGCTTTGAGGATTGGAAACATTGTATATGGGACTGAGTCAAGGAAACAATGTAAATGGTGTTGGTAGCAGTGGAATATTAAAGCACAATGTTCGCCAGCCTCCACTACATAACCTGCTGGCCAAGTGTTGATGTAAAAAATAAAACGCCGCGTAGAGCAAGGAGAGCTCTCGCCATGTTTCCGTCGTCTGTCCCCCCCCCCCAACGCTCTCCCGACCTCTACACTCCTGAAGTGTTACTACCCGGACTGGCTCTAGCAGGCGGCGGGCCCTTTTTACTGCTACTAAAGGTCTTTCTAGGAACAGCTCCTCGCGGCTTTGCGTCAGCCCCGATCTAACGTGCCTCACTTCAGTACATAATCTAATTTTGTATTTTAATTTTTTTTTTTCTTTTATAACTCAGGTTATACTGCAGTATTTTTTGCTTGCCAACTTCGTTCTCTATGCAGGTTTAGTCTGCACTTTTTTTTTTTTTTTTCTTTTGTCACGGGCAGAAGCCACCAGATTTTCAGAATTAATAAAGTTATTCAAACACTTTTGCAGTTGTCGATGCGATGGGTGAACTGTCTTTTTTTTTTTTTTTTTTGGAAGGTTTGAGCTGGAAGCTGATCTTATAGTTGCAGCTTGACAGGGCTGTAGTGCTGCGGGGCAGTGCCCACTGGTGACCAGTGCAGGAAATTGATCAAGTCGCATCTTTACTGAATAACTAGTGGGCTTATTAACCTCTTCACGCCAGCCAAACGCAAATGTGCGGCCTCCTGGCATCTGGGCCTAGACGCCGAGCGGCTGCACATTTGCGTTCTATTAAAGAACATATGTGCTGAGAGCGCGCGCCCTGCACGCTCCCAGCACACATCTCCGGTACTCACGGAAAGGTCCCGATCTCCTCTTTCGATCGGGACCTTTCCCGATCATGTGACGGTCATATGACCCTAAACCAGCAATGGGCAAACTACGGCCCGGCGGACCTTTTAATCCGGCCCGCGGAGCGTGATACATTGGCTGTCAGGATGTGTGTAGGCGGGGCAGCGTGACGAACGTGAGAGGAGCTAGGCTCCTCTCACAGTCCGCCCTGAAGACCGGAACGGCGCGGGAACACGGTGAGAGGAACGCGCGGAGCAAAGGTAAGTGAATTGACGGGGGACTTGGCTTACTACTTGGGGGGGAATAGTACTGTGGGGGATGAAATACTATATGAGGGATGAATTACTATATGGGGGATGAAATACTATATGAGGGATGAATTACTATATGGGGGATGAATTACTATATGGGGGATGAATTACTATGGGGGATGAATTACTATATGGGGGATGAATTACTATATGGGGGATGAAATACTATATGGGGGATGAATTACTATAGGGGGAATGAATTACTATAGGGGGAATGAATTACTATATGGGGGATGAATTACTATAGGGGGAATGAATTACTATATGGGGAATGAATTACTATAGGGGGATGAATTACTATAGGGGGAATGAATTACTATAGGGGGATGAATTACTATAGGGGGGATGAATTTACTATGGGGGAATATTACTATACTATGGATGACACATACACATCATTCATCTACTCTTGGTCCGGCCCCCGGGTCCAATATATGAACCCATTGCGGCCCTCAAGTCAAATAGTTTGCCCACCCCTGCCCTAAACCCTGCCCCACCTCCCGGCTTCTGAAACCCTTAAAGGGCCGGGACGCGATGGCGTGAAGGGGTTAAACGGTTTACCAGGGTATGATGAAATGCATCCGAAGAGTGTAGAAAGGATGAATGCGCCACAGATCTTGCGGATCACGTAAATCTTTATTGCTCGTGACGAGAAGTCAGAAGAGAGAGTCAATGTGGCAACCTGAATCGGCACTAACATACACTATTCTCCTTAATTAACCGCCATCATTTAAGCCCTGATGGGGGGGGGGACACCTGAGCCCCCAAAATAACTGATTCCTCTTTTGACCTCTTATGAGCAATAAAGTTGTACTGGTCTTGTGTTACATCTCATACTTTCTACATGAGATATCTTCTCATCATTTCTGTATACTATGCCTCATTCTATCCATCCATCTCATACTTTCTACATATTTCTAGCAAAAGATCTAGCAGGTGATGAAAAAGTAAGAATGCTCTCAAAAATATATATTTCAAATTTGTATGAGTTGACAAAATGCAAAGTGAGCGAACGGACGAGATATCTAAATCAAATCAATATTTGGTGTGACCATCCTTTTGGCTTCAAACCGGTATCCGTTCAATTCAACAAGCTCTTTTGAAGAGGTACAAAGAAACAGGCAATGTTGAGCATAGACATGGTGGTCGGGTAACTTTGAGGAGCGTAGACGCGGTGGTTGGGTAACGCTGAGGAGCGTAGACATGGTGGTTGGGTAACGCTGAGGAGCGTAGACATGGTGGTTGGGTAACGCTGAGGAGCGTAGACATGGTGGTTGGGTAACGTTGAGGAGCGTAGACGCGCTGGTCGGGTAATGTTGAGCGTAGACGTGGTAGTTGGGTAATGTTGAGCGTAGACACGCTGGTCGGGCAACATTGAGGATCGTATACGTGGTGGTCGGGTAATGTTTAGCGTAGATGTGTGGTGGTCGGGCAACGTTGAGGAGCATAGATGTGGTCGGGTAACGTTGAGCATAGACGTGGTGGTCGGGTAATGTTGAGCATAGACGTGGTGGTCGGGTAACGTTGAGCGTAGATGTGGTGGTTGGGCAACGTTGTGGAGCGTAGACATGGTGTTCGGGTAACGTTGAGGAGCGTGGACGTGCTGGTCGGGTAATGTTGAGTGTAGACATGGTGGTCGGGGGGTAACGTTGAGGAGCGTAGACGTGGTGGTTGGGTAACGAGCATAGATGCGCTGGTCGGGCAACATTGAGGAGCATATACGTGGTGGTCGGGTATAGTTGAGCGTAAACGTGGTGGTCGGGCAACGTTGAGGAGCATAAATGTGGTTGGGTAACGTTGAGCGTAGATGTGGTGGTTGGTTAACATTGAGGAACTTCGATGCGCTGGTTGGGCAACATTGTGGAGCGTAGATGCACTGGTCAGGTAATGTTGAGCGTAGACGTGGTAGTTGGGGAACGTTGAGCGTAAACGCGCTGGTCGGGCAACATTGAAGAGCATATACGTGGTGGTCGGAAATGTTGAGCGTAGATGTGGTGGTCGGGCAACGTTGAGGAGCATAGATGTGGTCGGGTAACGTTGAGCATAGACGTGGAGCGTAGACGCGCTGGTTGGGCAACATGGCGGAGCGTAGACGTGGTGTTCGGGTAACGTTGAGGAGCGTAGACACGCTGGTCGGGTAATGCTGAGTGTAGACATGGTGGTCAGGTAACGAGGAGCGTAGATGTGGTGGTTTGGTAACGAGCGTAGATGCGCTGGTCGGGCAACATTGAGAAGCATATACGTGGTGGTCGGGCAACGTTGAGGAGCATAAATGTTGTGGTCGGGTAACGTTGAGGAACTTAGATGCGCTGGTTGGGCAACATTGTGGAGCGTAGACGCGCTGGTTGGAAAACATTGCAAAGTGTAGACATAGTGGTCAGGCCGACCGTCGTACGGGACCTCTGTGTGAGGTCCCGATCATGTGATCACTGATTGGCCAATCAGTGATCACATGCAGAGTAGTAAGCAAGATGTCACTTCTGACATCATTGCTTACTACGTGTGAAATCTGTGAATGATCACAGAGGTCACATGGTACAGGGCTATTCACAACAGCCTTGTACCATGTGACAAGCTGTGACCAATCACGGCTCTCACAGTATTTCTCAATGGCTTCAGGAATGCAGCCAGAGGGAAGGAGAAATTATTGCTTTTACAGCCTTTATTGGTGTAAAAGCAATCAGTGCAAAAAAAAAAAGAAAAAATCTTCATCACCCCTCACAAGTAGTACAGTGTCACTATGGTGATACTACATCTAGAGTGACCGCATGTAAAAAAAAACCCCATAAATAATATAAAAAAAGTAAAAACAATGTTTAAAAATTATAATTTTTTATTATTAAACTAATTTGTTTTTTTTTTTTTTTTACTAAAAAGATAACGGAATACATTTTGGCCAAGATTTATGATGAAATATTATTTGTAAAATTTGATAAGAAAAACACTTTTTTTTTTATTTTTTGGACATTTTCATTTACATAGCAAAAAAAAATATAAATCCCAGCGGTGAATAAATACCACCAAAATAAAGTTTTATCTGTCTCAAAAAAATGATAAATTCATATGGGTACAGTGTTGCATGACCGCACAATTGTCATTCAAAGTGTGATAGCGCTGAAAGCTGAAAATTGGCCTGGGGGGGGAAAGCGTCCCGACTGGAAGGGGGGTGAAAGCGTCCCGACTGGAAGGGGGGGAAAGTGTCCGGACGGGGGGGGAAAGCGTCCGGACTGGAAGGGGGGTGAAAGCGTCCGGACTGGAAGGGGGGTGAAAGCGTCCGGACTGGAAGGGGGGTGAAAGCGTCCGGACTGGA